CAGAACTTTCAATCCTTCTGCCTCAACCTCCTGAGTGCTGGTTACTATGCATTTCTTTCCTTTAGATTTACTATATTTTTCTTAAAACACATGCTTTTAAGATTCTTTTAGCAAGGCCGTAAATATTTTTAGTCATTATTGCTAATGGAAATATGTACTTTTTGGAAAAATTTTTTCTATTGCATTTATAAAACATCGATTGGACATTTACCCTTCAGCATTTTGTAAACAATGTCCAGCCAATATTCTGGCCATATTTTGCTGTGGAGAAATCTGCCAGGGGTCTACTTGCTTTCCCCCTTTTTGATCACTTATTTTATTTCTTTTATGCTTTGTTTTAGTATACAGCAATTTCTCTTAGATATGTTTTATTGTCCATTTTTCCATTTTAATTTTCTTTAATTCTTATTTGGATTCTTGAGTCTAAAATTTTCATATTTCTGACACATTCTAGGAAACTTTATATATTTTCATACAATCTCAAACTTGTAGGTAAGTTGTAGCATTATAGTACTCAGAATTATTTTAATGAAATCTGTTTGAGAGTAACTTACCAAACTATTATCTCTTCTTTTGAGACTACTTTAGTGTATATTAGAGCTCAGATATTCTCCTCTATACTAGCATAATAAACCCATTGATAATAGATAATGTAACATTGATATGTTATTGGCACACAATCCACAGACCCCTTTCAAGTTTTGCCAGATACCCAAGGGGTGTCTGTGATTGCTGAAGAGTCCAGTCTGGAATTACATGCTGCATTTAGTTGTTACGTCTCCTGAGTCTCTTAGTTGAAACATTCTCTTAGTCTTCCTTTGGCTCTTATGACCTTGACTTGTCTGAAGGTTGTAGACCAGTTATGCTGACTAGTGTCCTTCAACTTTTGTTTGTCCTGATTGGTTCCAGGCCATGTATGAGGGGGGTGAGTGGCAGATCTATCCCACCATGATGCTAAGTGCTTATCTGTCCTATCAGTGGTACCTGAGGTTGTTTGTCCCACCACTGATGATATTTCCTTTTATCTCTTGGTCAAGGAGATATCTTTTAAGTTTTTCCATTAAAGAATTACTCTGGATTTTCATTTTGCAACTAATAATTGTCTAGATGATTCATAACTTCCTAGTTCATTTGAGGAATTATAATCTGTTATTAGCCTTATTTATTTTGATGTCCAAATTTCCATGATTTGAGCCCCTTTCCAGTAGGTTTCTGTACTTTTGAACCCATTTCAGGCAGCCTTCTTTACTTTTGATATAACTTCATTCATTGAGTAATTCCTTGCTTTTACAATATGTTTTTATTATTCTCTTATATTTTCCATTCTCCAGATCTGGAATCAATTTCCTTTTGAGTAGGGAATAATATTTAGAATATGCAAAGTGAACTCATTACTGTTAGAGAATTGTTGCTCCCAGGTCTTCATCAAGTGGAGATAGGAAGTGTGTGTGTATGTATGTGTGAGTGTGTATGTGTGTATGTATGTATATGTGTGTATGTATGTGTGTATGTATGTGTGTATATGTGTGTGTATATGTGTGTGTGTTGTGCTGTATTTACATCTATATTTATTTCACACTACTGATTACAGTTCAGGGATTATTCTCTGTGGTGATCCACACCACAGGAATCACTCTAATTTTTTTTCATATTTTAATTCCCTTTTCTAAAAGACAGGCATCTGGTCCTGCTGTACATAATCCATATGTTAATTATTTGATCAAACACCTTATATATAACTGATATTCTGTGATTGCTACCATCCTGCCTTCTACAAGAATACCTGCCAGATGATTTTATACCTTCACACTCCTTTGTAGAGCTCTCTCTTACCCCAGCTATGAATATTCTGCTTATCCACCTGTATTCCTTCACTATGCCTGGTTATACTTCTCACCCCACCAGGGCTCTAACACAGGGTGCCAAATGTTCCCCCCCCACCAGGGAATGTGTTTTCTTGATGACTTTCCAGGTCATCAATGTAAGCAAATTCCATCTTATCCCTTCCTGGGCCCTGACTCAGCTGTAGCAATGCTTCCATGCCTCCTTACCCGATGTAGGCACCATCCTCACCCTATTTGGATTCTCATCCTACAAAGTCTTTGTCCGTCTCCACTAGGGCCACTTCTTTTGCCCTCATCACTCCTGTTAGGCTTGTGACACCTCTTGTGGAGATACCTCATAGAATGAGTGGCTTCTTCGTTCCTTGCTCTAACTTCAACACCTAAGAGGAGACAACCCTATATTTGTCTTCACCCTGCTTGGGAATCTGCAATCCACATGGGGCTTTCCCCCTATTTGATCACCCTGTTTATTTTTTGTAGTCTGTCTTATTTCTTAATGCTTTTAATGTCTTTTGACTTTTTAATAATTTATAAGGACTTGATATTTTTTCTCCTTTTGCAGTAAGGTTTAGATTGTTCTCTTGTCATTAGATCCCAGGGATACTAATCTTGCTGCTTGCTCACGGTTTGTTATTTTCTTGAATGTTTTGTAATTTTTGATTGTGAGTTTACCATTGGAGTTTTTCTGTAGAAGTCCTTTTCAGTCTTGGTTGTTAGAAGGTCTTCCAGAATGCTTAAAAAACAAGCTGACAAAATCTAAATTTAATGAAGGATAATTAACATGTAGAACACTTGTACGTACACCTGCATACATTTAAAGTGTAAAGTTTGGTTAGTTTTGTAGTATGTGTACACTCATGAACCCATCACCACAAAATGACGAGTCTACCCTCAAAAGTTTCCTTGTGTCCCTTCAAAACCTCACTTTTTCCTCTGCAGAAAATCATTTACCTGCTTTCTGTTACAGAGGACTAATTTGAATTTTCTAAAATTGTATGTGAAAAGAATCATGTATTATTTTTTCTTGTTAGCTACTTTTTTATGTTTAACAAATCATTATCAGATTCATGCTGTATGAATCAATAGGTCACTCCTTTTTTGTGTGGAATTGTGTACCATTGTGTGGCTATGCTACAATTTGTTTATCAAGTTAGCTACTAATTGACATTTGAGTTGTTTCCAGCTTTTAGTTAATATGAGTAAAATTGCATATGTAGCATTCTTTGTATAAATAGGTGCTTTTTTTCCCACTTGGATAAGTCATAGAAATGATTTGACTAGGTCACGAAGTACATATTTTTGTAAGAAACTGCCAGACTGGCTTTCATTATACATTGTCATTTTCATTTGCTATTCTCCTGAACACTTGGTGTGGCCTTTTTCCTTAGAGTTTAGATATTTAAATTTTTTCATAGATTTTATATATTCTAATATGTCTACAGTGGGAGCAGTTTTTTTCAATTAAATTTTCACTTGGGTTTCCAGCATTTATATAATATATACATATATACCATGATATATCTTTACTCCACACCGATTTGTTGTTCCCACTTGGTATGATTTTCTTTGGAGATATGGAAGTAAGCTTCTTTATTTTCTTGGGGTAATGGTGCAGCTTTTCCAATGTTCCTTTCATTGAGCTTTTCTTTCTAAAAGAAAGTGTTCCCACTCCCAGCCCCAAACCCACAGACTGACCAAGCTCCAGTGCTCTATTGGGATTTCCTACACTTAAATTTGTACTCTTGGTCATGAAGCAAGACTTTCACATTTTAAATGGTCACAGTAGTATTAAAACCAGAACTCTCTGGTTAGCTTAGTAATATGATTAACATGTGTAGTCCTGGTATTCAAAATTACAGAGCATTTCCTACAGGAATGTTGGTTTCACGGTGCTTGGGTTTGGCAGTAGAATATCACATGCCAGACATGGTAGTGCGTAGCTGTAATCTCAGCACTGGGGAAGCTGAGGCAAGATGCTCATGAGTTTGGGGTCAGCCTGTACTACAGAGTGAGACCCTTTTAGTCTCAAAAAGAAAAGGAAAAAAGAATTTTACAGGTACATTTTAGACTAGAACTAGATAGACTGTGAATACTGCCCTAAAAAGTGAACTATTAGAAAGTAGGTGCTGAATTCCAAACAGAAACTACAAGGTAAGATTTTGACCCAAGCAGCTTGTGTTAGTGGCCCATGTTGAATTTGTATTTATGGTGTCAGTGCACACTCATGTTTATATAATTCTCTAAGTATTTGTAAATATATGAAACTAAACATTTTATTTTAATTTAAATTTTTTATATTTTTGGTGGTACTAGAGTTCAAACTTAGAGCCTTGTGCTTTCTAAGTAAGTGCTTTACCACTCAAGCCACACCTCTAGCCCTAATTGAACATTTTAAGTAACATAATGCCATATTTAAAAAAATTGTTCTTTATACTTACCCTTTAGATTCTTTATGAAATGAATGCCTTTTGGGGAAGAATATTTAACTTAGTGTCTTACAAAATAATGCATGCATCATTGGGTGATACATAGGTAGCATTTTTTGACATTTACATACTCATTTTAACCTGCAACTCAAATACAAAGGTAGTGATTTTGTGAAGATTATTGTTTAGGCAGATAGCAAGTACAACATGGGTCAAATACAATTTTAAAAATAATTTCTGAATAGGACAGAAATTGTGACCATCATTCATACATGAGTCTTTGAAGTCTAGGAAATTATATATATGTTATGGAAGAGGCTTTCTTTTTAATGCTGCTAAATAAGGCAGCATTTCTACAGAGAGGAGTCTATAAGGCTATCTTCATATTATGTTATGTGGATAGTTGTATTCTTCTTGAGGAGTCTGGCTGAACTTTGGAAAGGTTGGGATGAAGCAACAGTAGAGGTGGGTGTGGAGGGAAAATGATCCCTATTCTGATCATTGGCATCAGTGATTAGGAAAGGGAAGGAAAGTCATTATTCCATGAATCAGCAGCAGGCATGGTCATTTCAATATGTCAGCTACCTTCTTTAATTGATGGTGAAACAAATGCATTATTAAAGTTTGTGTCATCAGAAATCCACTTTGCAAAATGATTAGTTCTCCCAAATTTAAGAACAATGATTGGGTACACTATTTCTCTTCTCAGTACATCCAGGATTCATACAACATGAGGACTTCCCTGCAGGCAGTGGCTCTCTGGGGAAAGAAGGCCCCTCCCCACAGCATCACTGCCATCATGATCACTGATGACCAGCAAACAATTGTCACTGGAAGTCAAGAGGGTCAGCTCTGTCTCTGGAATCTTTCACCTGATCTAAAGGTTAGTGAAAGCTATTGGTACTAAAACAGATGTTATTCTTACAGGAAGCCAACTGGCTTTTTCTACCTGTAGTGACAGTGGAAGGTTTGTATGATGGTTGAAAAGATGCCCACTAAAGTAATAAATTGGTTTTACTTATGAATTTAGGGAAAATAAAATACTATATGATAATTCAAGATCATAGTTGAAAATTATGAGCATTGCTAATCTTAGCTACTAAGTAAGTGTTATCACCCTTTAAACTATGCTGAGTTTTACTATTTTATATCTTGAATTATATGTTTAAGTAAATGAACTACAGATACCTAAGTATAGTTTGAAAAATTTTGGCACATTAATCTAAACAGGGCACTCCTCAAAACCACTATTAACTAGATGAGTAGTATCTTCATTGTCTGGGTGTTTCTGCTGGTTTGGCCTTCTTGGTATTTTTTTAGTCTTTGCTTCCCTGTGATTTTTACAGATCACATCAAAATGCTCTAAATCCAATTTACTGTTGTCGTCTTCCTATTTCAGAACCCGACCTCACCTAGGATTTGGCCCATCAATTAGCAATTAATTGTCTCTGTCCCAAGTCATAAACATTTAACATACTGGAATAGATATTTGCTTAACTCTAACAGTCTCTAGACCCAGTTTGAACATTTAAACTAATGATGTACTTAAAGTATACTGCCCTCATTAAGAACCCTTTTAAAGATCAAAGACTATTTTTAGCCTTTAAAATCTGTCACTTTAAAACCTAAATTAACAATTAATTGTAATTCTATTTTATAGTGTAATTAATTAACATCTCCCATCACTGAACAGTTCTACTGCAGAACTGCCAAGAACTGCAGAGCGGACCAGCTCAACTCAGTGTTTATGAATATCCTTGAAATAAGGAATGGGGATCATTGCCACAGTTGTGCTTTGAAAATGGTTGGCCATATATATCTGAAAATGTATATTTCTTATTATAGTTTAAACTCATACTCCTAAATGGCTTAATATGTCATGTTAATCCTTTTAATGTTGAAGTGCATTATTTTTATGGCAAGAGTAGTTGCCTCATGATGAGTAAGTTACTGTAAGCCTAAGAAATTTGGAATCCTTGTATCCTTATCTTTTTTTATGTCTTCCTGGCATTTATTAAGCATTTGTTCGGCATACATTGGAGTGCATATTATAAGTTATGCTACATGCTAGTTACTTGTGAGTTCAGACATGAGCAAGAAGGCCTGTGTTAGTTGTGTATGAGGTTACAGTGTAGTGGAGAAACAACTAGGTTAATTGGAGTGGATTTGTTATAATACAAGGTATTCTAAGCAGGCAATGATCTGCAGTGAATATTCAGTGGAAGTTATGCCATGTTTCTCTTAGGAGCAAGTCTTCTGCTTAGTGTTAAAGGAGAATGCTATTTCTGTCCCCCTCAAAAGATATCTGGTAATATCTGCAGACATTTTTGGTTGTCAAAAGTGGAAGAAGAGAGATGCTATTAGCATATTGTGGGTGGAAACAAGGGTGCTGTAAACATTCTAGAGCACATATCATGGCCCCCACAACAAAGAATTTTCCCATCCAAAAGGCCAATAGTGCCAATATTGAGAAATTCAGGGTTAGACATGTGGAATGGGAAAAGTATAAGACCAGCAGGGCTGTTATGGAAACAGAATGCCTACAGGAAGGTGAAGAACTATCTGTTGCAGGAGCCCAGATGTGAACAAGGATTAGAGGGAGTTGAGGTCAGGAGAGAAGATGGGGTTAGTCATGGAGAAGTTTAGGTAGCCACTGAAGGAGCCTATATTGAATCTTGTAGACAAGGAGAGACAATGAGAGCTTAGTTGAGGATGAGCTTGTGTTTTAGAAATTCACCATGGAGACACTGAAAAAGTTACTATGTGAATAAGATATTGAGTAGTACAAATGATGCTTCTGTCTCTGGATTTAACTACTCTACACATCTCATGTAATTGTAGTCACACAGAATTTGTCTTTTGTGACTGGCTTATTTCACTTAGCATAGCATAATATCTTCAAGGTTCATCCATGTATCACATGGCAGTATTCCCTTCTTTTGTAAGTTTGAACAATATTCTTCTATAAACATGTGTGTATATTTGTGTATACATATATAATATTTCACTTATCTATTCATCCATCACTGTACACTAGGGTTGTTTTCACCTTTTAGCTATTGTGAATGATGTTACTATATACATGGTTATGCAAATATTTTTTCCCATCTCTGCTTTCAGTTGTTCTGGGTGTATATATAGAAGTAACTGATGGTTCATTTGGTAATTCTATTTTTAATTTTTCATGGGACCTCTATATTGACAACATTGTCTTCATATTATTCATTCCCACCAGCATTTTACAGCATTCCAATGTGTGTGTGTGTGTGTGTGTGTGTGTGTATGTGTAACTATAGGGAGATAGATGGATAGATAGATAAATAGGCAGATAGATACATGATGATATATAGATGGATGGATGGATAGATAGATGATAGATACATGGGTAGATATAATGGGTGTGAAATAGTATCGTGTCATGGTTCTGAAGATAAAGGCTTTCTAGGGTGAATGCTGAGTGTGAACTGAATTCTAAAGGGTACACAAGAATTAAGGGTAAGAAGAGATTGCAGGCAGAAATAATGAAAAGTGTTCATGAAAGGCACAAGCATTTTACCTTCAGGGAACTGGTAAAAGAAGCTAAGTAGACCTGGAACATGAAGGGTAAATTAGAGGTGAAATGCATATTTGTAAAAGATGGAAGAAACCCAACAAGTCATCTGGCAAGAGTTAATGGTATATGTTAACTAGCATGGTAAGAACATCTGAGGATACTTTATATGAGGAGTCGACATACCACTATCTGCTTGTACTTTTGTTTAGAGTACTACTTGCTCATATAACAAAGGGCATATTGAAGGGAAGAGGAGATGAAGTTAGAGACTGTGTAGGAGGCTTGTACAGTAATTTATTTGAGAAAGTTTTTGTGGATGAGCCAAATCAGTGACACTAATGAAGAGAAATGGAAACTGGACAGATGTTAAAAAGAGAGACTGGAAGGAATTGAGAACCCTGTTGGACGTGGGGTAAAGGCCAGGGGACAGACAATGACACTGTTGAGATTCGATTTTGGAAGATGGGTGGGTCTCTTGAGATGATGGTTTATATCATTTGTTTATAAAAACATTAAGGGGGATTGGGAATTTTGATGAAGAGGGAAAGAGGTGGTTTAAGTTCTGGACATCTCAGAGCATCCTAGTTTTCATTAGGGGACTGGATATGTACCTCAGTCTTTTCCTGCCCATAGGTGGTGGGATTGCCTAGAGAAAGGTGAGATGAACATCCTCTCAGATAGATTCTTTCAGTATTGCTATGATCTGTATTTCCTCCTGTCTAATACTCAGAAGGAAACACATGAAAATGAAGAACAGCAATGTGTGTAGAAAGAAAGAATGTGATCTGGGTGAAGTTCTAGGCCTTATATTTACCAATTCTGTGATGTTGGACAAATGATATATTCTTTGAGGCTGATTTCCTTATCTGTGAAATGGGGATTTAAACACTGCCCATGGTTGCACCATGCCTAAAATATGGTAGATGTTCATCAAATATGTGTTATTTTTTTTCTTTTTGCATTTGTTATTAGAAGTACCTGAGAATGGGGTTAGGAGGGACCAGTGCTTCATAGCAGTAGAGCAGGTGAATAACACAAAGATCTCTTTGATTTCATCATGACAAGAATTAGGTATGAATGTGGGACTTATGTTTTTATTGTTTTACGTTTCTCAGCAGTTATAGAATATAGTAAAATGAAATTATAGTGAGTTGTAAGAGCTTATTCAAATGCCTGTGGAGATTTAGTAGTGAAAAGAGATCTTGATAGGAAAAGCAATAGTATTTCATTCTGATGTTTTGTTCACAGTGGATTTTCTTTGGAGTGCCTGCTCTTGACTCGGCTTTTAGTTCACTGGAAAGGGATTGAATTCACAGGGGTATGCATTCCATAGGGTGATGGTCGGGGAAGACAGTGTGCTGTTTTCTGAGATGGAGCCTTCTGGATTACAAGGAAAAAGACAGAGCTAGAACTTAGTGATTCTGATCACAACCAAGACCCTCTTTGTAGCACTAAAAATTTACTCTGCCAACAGACCTTTTAAAGAAATATTTCTTATTATGATATGAAGGAGGGAACAATTATATCTTGAAATCATGTATCCTCATTGATATTGATATCCTCTAAGATATAGATAGATAGATAGATATGTACATTCTTGCATGGTTCAGACAAAGAATAATACATATTTATTCATTTGGAATATGGATTTTTAAAAATTACCTACAAGACATTTTCTAATCATTCAAATTAATTTTTGCTCTATTGTTGTTAGACCTTACATTTAGTGAGACCTTACATGTTTTCTATTTTGTAGCTTAATTTTAAAATTCATATTTTATAAAGTGAGGAATGTACTTTTTTTTCACATATGAGATAATGGCATAATTAGTCCTTAGTGTCATACTTTTAAAATTCTCTTATAAGAGAAAGACTGACAATTTCAATAATCATTTAGATAATTTTTTTTTGGTAGGACTGGGGTTTGAACTCAGGACTTCATGCTTGCAAAGCAGATGCTCTGCCTCTTGAGCCGCCACCCAATCCATTTTGCCCTTTAGGGATAGGGTCTCATGAACTATTTACCCAAGCTGGCCTCAAACTGCCATCTTTCTGATCTCAGCCTCCCAAATCGCTAGGATTATAGGCATGAGCCACCACCAACAGGCTAAAATTTTGTATGTAATGTAGAAAAGTTAATTTTACTGTTTCTGAGGAAGGAAGCCAAATACAGTGTTTAAACTTTATTAACAGGCTTTATTTTTTAAATGTAGTTTTATGTTCACAGAAAACCTGAGTAGAAAGTTCAGAGAGTTCCCTGTGCTCCTACCCCACACACCCAAAGCCTCCCCCACCATTAACATGCTTTCACTGCCCTAAAAAATCTCATGTGTTCTATCAACTAATCTCCTGTTCCCCAAACCCCTGAACGTCACTAAGGCTTTTAATTCCCTTAGTTTTTCCTGTTCCTGAATGTCGTATAGTTTGAATCATATAGTATGTAGCCTTTCCAGGCTGGCTTCTTTCACTTAGTGAAATACATATAGGGTTCTCCCTGCTTTTTCATGGCTTGTTAACTCATTTCTTTTTAGCATTGAATAATAACTCATTGTATTGATACGCAGTGCCACACTTTGTCTGTTTGTCTACTGAAGGACATCTCACTTGCCTCCACAGTTTGGTAATTATGTTTAAAGCTACTACAAACACATATCTGCAGGCCTTTGCAGGACACTACTTTTCAATTCATTCCATCAATGAATATCATTACTGGATTTTATGGAAAGAATGTATTTAGTTTCATAAGAAACTGCTAAACTCTCTTTCATTGTGTATTCCTACCAGCAATGAATGAGTTCTGTTTTCTACACCCTCATAAGCATTCATCATTGTCAGTGTTTTGGCTTTTGGCCATTCCATTAGGTGTATAGTGGTTTCTCAATTTGGTTTAAATTTGCATTTTCTTTATGACATGTGATGTGAAGAAATTTTTAATATGTTGTGTACCACCAGCCCATATTCTTTGGTGAGTTAGCTGCTCAGACCACTTAACTATTTTTTAATAAGGTTTTTCATTTTCTTATTGTTAAGTTTTAAGAATTCTTAGTGTATTTTATATAAATAATTCCTTACTAGATATGTCTTTTGCAACTATTTCTCCCATTCTGTGGCTTGTCTTCTTGATCTTTTCTTTATTTTTATGTAAATAAGAAATGTGTTGTTAGTTTCAAAGTTTTAAGTAATATAGATAATTTAGATGAATCCATGATGCTTAAAATTTCTTCCACATTAATTGGCCTAGGATTTGGTCTATGACTGGTAGACTTCCAATTCTTTTTCTTTTAGCTTTATCAAGGTATAATTTATTTAATAAGGTATTCAATGTGGTCATTTGATATACATATGCATTATAAAATGTTTACCATAATTAAGTTAATTAATACATGTATCACCTGACATAGCTGGATTTTGTGTGTGTGCTGAGAATACTTAGAGGTAATCTCTAACAAATTTTGAGTATACAATACTACACAGTATTATTATTATTATTATTTGTGATACAAGGAATTGAACCCAGGACCCTGTGCATGCCAAAAGTAGGCACTCTATCATTGAGCTACATGCCCTGCCCACAACACGGAATTGTCTTCTGTAGTTGCCTTTCTGTGAGTTCAATCCCCCAAACTTATTTGTCTCATAACTCAGTGTTTTGTCTTTTAACCAATCTCTTCCCCATTCCTTCTTCTTTCCACACCTTGGCAATCACTGTTTTACTCTATGCTTCTACAAGTTTGAGTATTTTAGATTCATCATATAAGTGAGACCATGCAACATCTGTCTGTGTGTGTCTGGCTTATTTTACTTAGTATAATGTTCTCCAGGTTCATCCACAAGTATCAGGGTTTTTTAGGACTGAATAATATTCCATTGCATGTATATACCCATCCTCTTTATCATTCATTCACTGATGAACACTTGGGGTGTTGCCATATCTTGATTGTTGTGGACAATATTGCTATATGGTAATTCATTTTTAATACTTAAAGTACCACTATGCTGTTTTCCAGAATTGTTATACCAGTTTACAGCTCCACAACCAATAAGGTCTAATAATGGTTACAAAAGGGTAATATTGTTTCTTGTATTATTTTGTAAACTCATTTCAATTTTGAAATCTGAACACTTTTGTTTGTCTTGGTTTTGAAATAGGGTCTTACTGTATAGTTCAGTGTGACCTCAAATTCATGATTCTCCTGCCTCAGCCTCCCAAGAACTGGGATTGCAGTACTGGGCCACCCTGTTCAGCATGAAACCTGCACATTAACATGCTAGTATCATTTGGGAGATATTTTGTACATAATACCCATCAACACTATCTTGTTTGTATTCAAAACTTAAATGTTGTAAAATCAGGTCTGGTGGTCATCTAGTTTTCATGAGAAATACCAAATCAAAACAAACCCCAAAATGTGTACAAAACAAATCCTTTACCTAGAACTTCATTATTCTGTGGATTTTGCTATACCATATCAGTTTTCCTGAAACATGCATGCTGAAAAGGCATGATATAAAAGGGTTTCCAATCAGAATATAAAGTATGATGTTTTCAGCTTTTAAACAATGTATAGTTCTTTAAAAGCTTATTCTGGTCATTTTCAGATTTCAGCTAAAGAACTCCTATTTGGTCATTCAGCTTCAGTAACATGTTTGGCAAGAGCGAGGGACTTCTCTAAACAGCCCTATGTTGTTAGTGCTGCTGAAAATGGGTAGGTAAGATGCGCGGAACTTTGTCTCATTCTCCATTTCCTTACCTTAAAAAAAAAAAAAAGCCTATACTGCCATACACTTTTAGGGCTGAAAGAAACTTCCATGATTAACCTGCTCCTTTTACATATAAGAAAATTTAGATCTTGAATGGCTGAGTATCATGTCTTGGTCCCAAGGAATATAGTCAGTATAGTGACTCTCAATGTGGTATTCTTTTTTAGCTGAATGGGGACTAAGATAAAATTACAACATGTATATCAGACCTTGCAGCCCCCTTACTTACAGTGAAGAATAGTGACAAATGTCCAGTAATAACGTAATGAAAATGGGAAGTCTAGCTGCTTGTTTTTTTTTTTTTTTTTTTGGTTTATTAACTTACTTGGAGTTCTTAAGCAAACCTATCTGAGCCTTCACATAGTTTTACAAAACAATTCAATAGCTGGTTTTTGGGTTGTACCTGATGCTATTATAAAACTAACAGAGGAGAGGACTCCATTGTGAGTGGAATGGTAGGAAAGAGAAAGGAAAGGAACATATGCAGTGATTGGTGAAGTATCATGGAAATGAGTCTGCTCTAATGAAATAAGGCTTAGCTATAGGAAAAAGTTGCCTGGGGGAAGTGCTAGACCCTGTTGAAGAGTTATTTGCCACGTTATACTGAGGAATGCAGAATTGACTCATGATTTATTTGTGAATGGGGGATTGAGTTAATGATTGAGACAAGAGAACCCTCTGAATTTTGAAAACACAGAGAATAAATAGATATCAAAGAGGCACCTGCAAGGTTACCGAGAGGTAAGTTCATGGTTTATAATAAAGCAACAGTAGGTTATATTTAGAGAGATTGAATTTTGGTTACGTTTGAAGTGAAATATCTTCCGATGTTCTCCTTTAACATTTGCCTATACCCTTCAAACACCACAGTGGCCACAGAGCCTGGTATACATGCTGAGATATTTATTTCCACTCTTGGGAATTTGGGAGATGGTGATTTTTTTTCTGGGACTACTTGAAGAGTTGAGGAAAAAAAAATAATAGCTAAGAGAGAAATAGATCTGAGAAGTTACTGAGTTCTAGCTTGAGGATTTTGCCCACAGTAGTCTAGTTCCAAAAAAGAAACAAGAATTAATGGGTATGTTCTTGATGATAGTTGAATTCAGCTATGTATGCCTTAGAAATATGATTGTTAAATAGCAAAGGACTCTGATTTTGGTCTGATTAGCAGTCTTCTTTTGGCAAGATGATTTGAAATGTTCTTTTGGGGTCCCTCACAACTTAGCCTGTGTCTATAGGATACTTCTCAGGCAGTACCTACACTTTAGCTGCTGTGTACTTAGCAAATCCTCACTTAATCCTCTGGAAGTTATCATCCTCACTAGGCTTGCCCTTTCTTTCTCAAACAATCATGCATTTTCAGCTGTGAGAGTTCCCAGGGAGTGGCTGTGGGCTTAGCATCCTGCCTCTGAGATGATCAGAGGTGGGTGACACAGAAGCACTTCATGGCTTAGGTTTTCATTTTGTTCCAAAGTATTATTTCATTTGTTGGCTGATAGCTTCAGATTCAGGAAAACCAGGGAATTGTAGGATAATGAAAAGAAACAAATACCTGGAGACCTAATACAGAAACAACAGAAAGCCAAAAAAAAAAAAGAGCGAGAAGATTCTCAAAGTACATAGTGATAAAAAGCAAATTATTCACAAAGAAATGTTAATGGAGTTGAGAGCTGACTTTCTGACAGGAAAATGAAGCCTAGGCAACAATGGACTTGCTTCAAGAAGTTGGGAGAAGCTATCAACCTAGAATTATATATCCAGCAAAAATCTTTGAAAATTAGCACACAATAATAACACTTAAGACAAATTCTAAGGGCACTCACTACCAACAGATCCTCTATAAATAGCAAAATTCTAAATGATATTCTTCAGTAAGGAGAATAATGATTTCAGAAGGAAGATGCCAGGTGAACGAAGGAAAATTGAGCAAAGACCAGCAATTTTTTTAGGAAATTCAGATAAACAGACTCTAAGACATAATGTTTATATACACCTACCCTCTCCACACCCACACATACATAATCTTAGTCCACAGCAGTGTAGAAGAGTTTTGTGATTCAGTTCCATAAATTTGGTGTCCTAGAGGTGGGTAACTCTTAGAATCCAGATGTATGCATATGTTGTGTGTGTGTGTGTGTGTGTGTGTGTGTGTGTGTGTGTGTGTATGTTTGGCAGTTGTAGGGTTTGAACTCAGGCATTTGCTCTTGCTATGCAAGTGAGCCACACTCCAGCCCTTTTTCTGTGGTTATTTTTGAGGTAAGGTCTTAAATTTTGCCCAGGCTGGCCTAGACCACAAGAGATTCTCCTATTTTATGCTTCCTGCCTAGTTGAGATGGCAGGTACATGCCACCACAGCCCAGCTATTGGTTGAGAAGGGGTCTTACAACTTTCTTTGCCCAAGCTGGCTTCAGACCTTAATCCTCCCAATCTCAGACTACTAAGTAGCTAGAATTACAGGTGTGAACCACCAAACCTGGAATATGTTGCATTTTGAACATACAAAAGAAAAAAAATTAATGGAATAAAGGGTATATAACTTTTAATTTTAAAAAGAAACAAAAAATTGTTCAATCCAAAAATATAGAAAAAAATCAAAGGAAAAAATGAGACAAACAGAAAGCACAAAATAAGATAGTTGAAATACATCTGGATAAAACAGAAATCCCAAGAATATAATGGGACTGAGCTCTCCAATTACATTATGAAGACTGTGAAACAATTAAGAAAATGAAAAAAGTGGATTAGGAAAAGATGTATAAGATGTTCAATAACCAAAATAAGGTCGAAAAGCTTTATCAGTATTTAATATTAATAAATATGTGTTGCTAATACAACTGTAAGGCAAAAGTCTGGCACTGATAGAGAGGGTTATTACTAATAAAAGTGTTAGTCACCAACAGATGAGACCAGAGAAGTAGGTTGTCATCAGCCTGGGAGGTCTCTAGGACAGTCACCTTCAATCTTGAGTTCATATCAGAGTCACCTGAAGAATTTATTTGTAGATTTCTGGATCTTAATCCCAGGGACATGGATTAAGTAAGTATGGGCTAGAGTCTAAGTACATGCATCTCTAACACAATCCTCGAATATGCTGATAGTGTTTAGCCAAGATCATATTTGAAGTAGCAAATATCGCACATATGGGAAATTGAGAGAAAGGGTGGGATCAAGGATGATTTGGAGCCTACCTTGCAAGTGCAAGTCCCTGAGTTCAACCCCCAACTCAGTACCTATGAGGTTATAAATAATGGAGTTATTAGCAACACACTTGACTGAAATAAAATTCATTTCCCAAGTTAAAATTCTTATGAATGGATGGAATAGTTTCTATCAAATAATTTTTATTGAGGTACTGAGATTGAGATTTACAGTTGAATAAGACAAAAAATGGCTATTTCTCAAGGACCGTCATTTAACAGTTTTCTGATTTGATATGTTGTAGATACTTCTGTGCTTTTCTTCTCATTGAAATAAAAATGAATAATATTTAAGGTTTTGGAAATTATTAAGCTTAATTTTTTAAAATCGAAGGTGATTATATATATATGTAAAAACCTTGGGAACCATATTCAGAAATGAAAAAGAATATGCAAGTTTTCATATTATTAAGTGTATAAACAGTTTAGACTAAATACCAATACTGCTTTTAATATACCACAAATTTACTTTCTTTTCTTAGATAGAATTGATGGGCGGGGTCATTTTTTGTTTCTTTGATTTTTTTTTCAAACTTTAGATAAAAATAAGATGGTAAGCAAACAAAAATGGAAAACATTGGGTTTTAAATTGTTAGTATTACAGGAAGTTTTCACTGATGTTCTGGCTCCCATCCTAAATAATGTGAGTTAATTAACCTGGTCTCAGTTGGGTTCCACTCATCAGTAATTTTGAAAATTTCCTGATAATGGCAGTGCATACCCAAGTTTATAGATACTTGTTTAGAGACAGACTTACCTAAAAACAGGTCAGCCAGCAAAGAGCTTTTTAAAACCACACATGCCAGGGCCCTAACAAAAGCTCTAGGGTTAGCATCTCTGTGGGTAATTTTAAAAATATTTGAAGATGATTGTGGATGTACAGCAAGAGTTGAAAATCACTGCTGTAATTCCTTGTATAACTAAAATTTTATATTGTTGGCTACTTAAAGTTCAATTTCTTTATCTTTGTGATATATTTATTTACATCTATATGTATTTTTAGTTGCTTTGTCTTGGGGAGACATGTTATTCCTATATATATCTTTCTTGCAATCTTATTCTTTCAGTGCATTCACACACACGCACACACAGACACACACTAAGACACAAAGACACACACACACACACACACACACACACACACACAGATATTCCCTCCTATTAAATAGAGTTACATGCTTTTTCATTTTATCTCAAATCATTTCTGAATAAGGTTGGAAAGAAACAGAGGGAAAATGATTATTTTTCTTCTATCTACAACGTGGTTTCTGTTTTTTTTAATTAATTAATTTTTTTATTAGCTGTCCTCCCCCCCCCCCCCCCCCCCCCCCCCCCCCCCCCCCCCCCCCCCCCCCCCCCCCCCCCCCCCCCCCCCCCCCCCCCCCCCCCCCCCCCCCCCCCCCCCCCCCCCCCCCCCCCCCCCCCCCCCCCCCCCCCCCCCCCCCCCCCCCCCCCCCCCCCCCCCCCCCCCCCCCCCCCCCCCCCCCCCCCCCCCCCCCCCCCCCCCCCCCCCCCCCCCCCCCCCCCCCCCCCCCCCCCCCCCCCCCCCCCCCCCCCCCCCCCCCCCCCCCCCCCCCCCCCCCCCCCCCCCCCCCCCCCCCCCCCCCCCCCCCCCCCCCCCCCCCCCCCCCCCCCCCCCCCCCCCCCCCCCCCCCCCCCCCCCCCCCCCCCCCCCCCCCCCCCCCCCCCCCCCCCCCCCCCCCCCCCCCCCCCCCCCCCCCCCCCCCCCCCCCCCCCCCCCCCCCCCCCCCCCCCCCCCCCCCCCCCCCCCCCCCCCCCCCCCCCCCCCCCCCCCCCCCCCCCCCCCCCCCCCCCCCCCCCCCCCCCCCCCCCCCCCCCCCCCCCCCCCCCCCCCCCCCCCCCCCCCCCCCCCCCCCCCCCCCCCCCCCCCCCCCCCCCCCCCCCCCCCCCCCCCCCCCCCCCCCCCCCCCCCCCCCCCCCCCCCCCCCCCCCCCCCCCCCCCCCCCCCCCCCCCCCCCCCCCCCCCCCCCCCCCCCCCCCCCCCCCCCCCCCCCCCCCCCCCCCCCCCCCCCCCCCCCCCCCCCCCCCCCCCCCCCCCCCCCCCCCCCCCCCCCCCCCCCCCCCCCCCCCCCCCCCCCCCCCCCCCCCCCCCCCCCCCCCCCCCCCCCCCCCCCCCCCCCCCCCCCCCCCCCCCCCCCCCCCCCCCCCCCCCCCCCCCCCCCCCCCCCCCCCCCCCCCCCCCCCCCCCCCCCCCCCCCCCCCCCCCCCCCCCCCCCCCCCCCCCCCCCCCCCCCCCCCCCCCCCCCCCCCCCCCCCCCCCCCCCCCCCCCCCCCCCCCCCCCCCCCCCCCCCCCCCCCCCCCCCCCCCCCCCCCCCCCCCCCCCCCCCCCACCCCCCTCCACAATTTGTTGGAGGCCAGAGTGACCCTAAGGTGAGGTTTGCAGGCTGGTGGCAGGGTGTAATTACCCAAACAAAAAGATACAGATACAGTATGTCGACCCTGCTAATGACCACAACATTTTCTTGCCCAGTAATCTGTAACAAAAAAAGCCGTATAAACGATTAGGTTGCACTTAAGTGCAGCACTAAGGAAAAACTTAGTGGCACAAAAATTATTTCAGCCAATTGAGTGGAAATGACAGAGAATAATATGAAGTTATCTCTTCTAGGGAGATGTGTATTTGGAATGTCACCAATGGACAGTGTGTGGAGAAGGCCTCACTTCCTTACAGGCACACTGCCATCTGTGTAAGTATGCCCACTTTCCGCAGAATATTTCTGGATGTTACAGCCCCATTTAAAGAAATATCTTGGGAGAATATTCTTTCCTTGAAATTTTCTTTTCTCATGAAGACAAAATATCCTCAGTAATCACCTACTATTTTGGCATTCTTCTTTCTCAATGGATATCATTCAACAAGATTTTTGTCCCCTGATGCTTTTATTTCTCTTATCTTTGAAAGCCAGTGTTCATATTTTTCCTTAAAGATACAAACCACACATCCACACACGTAAGGATTCCATATACATGTGTCATGTTTCTGTTTTAATGATGCACTATTTTGTAAAGCATAAAATAGTGCTTTCCCCTCATTTTTAATTTTAACCCATTCTTTTGGTGGAAAGGTTGTTAATTTCAGAATTGTTTATTTACAAAAAAAAGGAAACATAGTAATAATCTTTAAAATCACTAAATCACTTCCCAATATTTAGAGCTTTTTTTTTTCAGTGCCAGCGATTGAACCTAGGGTCTCAAACATACTAGATGAGTTCTCTACCACTGAGCCATGTACCCAGCCCCATGTTGCTATTTTTTTTTTAATGGTACTGGGGTTTGAACTCCAGGTCCTGTGCTTGTTAGACAGACTCTACCAGGCCTCACCCCCAGCCCCAGCCATGTCCCAAATTTTAAAACAGGTTTTGGCATTTGGTGTATGTATTTTAAGTATATGTAAGGTTATTTCATGGTGCTGTTGTAGCTGGCGATGTCTTTATTTTCTGTAATGCTTTTAGTGTTGATGTCTTGCACTGCAACTTTCACAAACTTTTTTTTTTATTCTTCAGGGATCAAACCCCTGCACAATGAGAGCTCTCAATTATGGTAGAATTTATTACTTGATCTTAATAGAAGCCATTTCTAAAATTTATTTGGCACAGGAACTTCTTAAATGTACTTCAGATGCTTTTATTTCACATTAACCTGTAACAGTTTTGCTAGGGTAAGAACCTTAGATCTGTTTGGCTCTAGATAACACTATATAAATAACGTACCTGTGGGCTTCCTATGATTTGTAGTGGGATTTCTTCTTTTCAAAAGATACCCCTTTTTCCAGAAAAATGCTGAGACACAAGTGAAACTAAAGTGAAAAATTAACACTTGTAAGAGTGTGGAATAAATAAACTAAAAAGTAAATTTAGTTGCTACTCAGTCAAGAACTTCAACTGAACAGATGCTAACCCTAAAATTTCGAGAGTCTTCAATGCAGCTAAAGTTATGTGACTGGTAATGGCTGTTAATTTTACTTGAATTCCACTTGCGTAGTACTACCACTGCTCATTCCGGATGACAGGAGAAGGCTGGCTTTTGTGTTGTGGAGAATACCGAGATGTTCTTATCATTGATGCCAAAACATTGGCTGTTATCCACACTTTTACATCATCACAGTCTCCTGACTGGATAAGCTGCATGTGCTTTGTTCACTCCATGAGAATTCAAGGTAATAGTTGGGTGTGGCATAACACTAAAATATGGCATATATAGTTATCTACTTTTGTTTTAGTTGTTAAATTATAAGCAAGAATTCACAATGCTTTATATGCATTTACAAAATAGTACCATGAAACTTCTTGCAGTTGCTTTAAGTGGGGTGGGGAGGGGCTTGTGGGTGTGGGTGATGGTGGAGACAATCTAACCAATGTACAGTGTAAAGCTATTTGGAATTGTCACAGTAAATCCCCCCTGTACAATGAATATATCCTAATAAAAATGGGGGATAAAGAAACAAAGAAAAAAATATTTACAATACTTTTTATGTTTGCCTATTATTAGGGATAGCTCTGTACTCTAGATAAAAAAAAAAATATGGAGAATACCCACACTAGTGGTTCAGGTCATTAGAAAGCCAGTAAAAGGCTAAGATAAGTGGAAAGAGGAGAATATGTTTACATTACCCTGTTCTCCTAGGTGCATGTTAAGAGCGATTGGAAAGATTTTGCTGTGGAGTAGCAGGACTCTTGGAACTTTTGCCTTTCTGTGCATTCTGAATGTAGTAAAGAGAATCCAGTTTCTGTAATAAATGATGGCAGAGGAAAGTAGAATCTGGCTCCTCTCTTATTTTGGAAGTAGGGAAGTTAAATATTACCAACCCATAATGGGTGATAGGACTCTTCTTATAGTGATATTCTCTGAATACCAGGGATCACTTTGAAATATTAAAGCAAAATTGACACGACATGAATTTTTTTTTATTTAAAAAATCCCTAAAATCAGCTGGGTGTGGTGGCACAGTCTATAATCCCAGCTACTCAGAAGGCAGAGACAGGAAGATTATGGTTTGAGACCAGCCCAGGCAAAACAGTTAGCCAGGCATGGTGTGGCACATTCCTGTAGTCCCAGATACTCAGGAGGCAGAGACAGGAGGATTGAGGGCTGTCTGCCTTGGCAAAAGCACAGGACCCTACCTGAAAACAAACTGAAAGGACTGGGGGTGTGGCTCAGGTGGTAAAGTGCTTAAAAGGCCGAGTTCAGTCCTTAGTGCTGCCAAGAAAATCCAAAATTGAGTATTTTCTATCCACAAAGCCCTGTACAATCCTTAAATGATATGAAATGATTTTTATAGCAACCAGTTATTGTTGTGTTAGCTTATATGTGATTTTTGTTCTTTTTACAGAAGATTCTCTGTTAGTAGTATCAGTAACTGGTGAGCTCAAAGTATGGGATCTTTCCTCATCTATCAATAGCATTCAGGTTGGTTTGGAAACCATTGTCTTTTTTTCCTATTTCAAGCACATTTGTGAAACTTTTTAAAATATAAGGATATTACAAGTTCAAATGATGTAGAAGTGTGTAAATTCTATCCCTATCTACTTTCTCCCATCTATCTTCCTAGGAGTGGACATTGGTATGGCTGGATTGTATCCTTTCAACCTTTTCTCCATGCATGTAAAAATATTTTTAGCTACACATAGCAGAATACCCCTCTGTCCCTTATACCAGAGACCTTTCTTTTGGGGCTAAGTGAGTAATAGGAAAATGACTATGGGGTTATATACCTTGGGAGTCCAGCACAATCCCCTGCTTCCTGGCATCATTCTACAAGTTGAAGTAGTGGGCAAAAGAGCAGACACAGTATTTGTGTTGGGGAGAAAATTATTTAGACTGTTCTGAGGAGACATGGGGTCTCTTTCTTGGTTGAGTATACCTAGAAATTAAGTTGGCATGCTGAGCCCAAAAACCCCATACCATGGATGATGGAGTGGCTCAAGTGGTAGAGTGCCTGCCTAGCAAGGGTGAAGCTCTGAGTTCAAATCCTACTATCACAAAAAAGAAGAAAAAGAAAAAGAAACACACCACTCACCCAATATTATCAGAAACCCAAGAGCTTATTATTCTGTATGTTCTATGTTGACTGCTCTTCTCCCTTTCAAAGTACTTTGTTCATTTCTTCTTATTTTAGCAGTTAAGATATGGCAGGTTTTGAAAACATTAGTATTTTGCATTTTTGTTGGATCTTTCTGCTGTGTCTGACTTAATCATATTCTCAGCATCCAGCATGGCTCCCACAGAATGTTTGTCGAATGATTATACCTTGAATCCAAGTGGATTTCCTGCTTATAGCTTCTTTTACAAAGTAACTTCTTAGTTCAAAATACTCAAAAGCAAGCACAGGTACTTTTCCTGTGATCTACTTCAAGCACATAGAACAAGTCTTCTTGTGGTAATATTTAAATTTTCTAGAAGTAGAACTAAAATGTTTTCTTTCCTTTTGAAGGAAAAACGAGATGTCTATGAAAAAGAATCCAAATTTCTTGACTCCTTGAACTGCCAGACAATTCGATTTTGCACATACACAGAGAGACTTCTGTTGGTGGTGTTTTCTAAGTGTTGGAAGGTATCATAAAATAATAGTAAATACCAGTGATACACAAATGTAATTTCTTCTTGTTCAGCATTACAGTTATAAGAATATGATTTAAACATGAAACAAACTATTTGTAATAATGTTGCTAAAGTGTAGAATGACTTCTTTTTTATGACTGACATTAATTTTCAACTTCCTATGTTCAGCTATTTTGTTCCCCAAGATATTATATATGTACTGACATATTTAGTTTTATTAATAGCAAAACTAAAATAACAATGAGCATTTGTCTCTAAACTATTTTCAACAAATGCTTTTAGTGTCAGAAAACTAATACTTTTCACCTACATTGATTGATCTTATTTTTAGGTTTTTTTCTTTTTTCTGCTTTGTCACTGCAGTGTTTCTAGGGAATATGTATTCTTTTCATGTGAATGTATTCACAGATGTCTCTAAGAATAAAGAAAAGCTAAGTTGCCACTGTTTGATAGCATCCTTCTTTAATGTTTCATACAACTAACTCAGTTGACAAAAGCATATTATCTTACTTGTATGGTGATAATATAGTTTTGAACAAAGAGTTAAGGTACGTATTCTGACAAAGGACTTCTACTATGTGAGCTTTTTGTGTGTAATAAATTTTCAAATGTTAAACTTGGAGTACTCTCATGGAAAGAATAAAAGTAGTCAACAGTTTGGGATTTGAGATTTCTTATGTTCAAACTATAAGTACTAGTTAAATATTATCTTGGTCCACAATTACTAATAGTTCATGTGTTGTTACATACGGGTAGAGTGTGGCTTGTTATTAACAGTTAATATGTTGTTACTTTGTTTCTATCATCTAAATAGTCTTTAAGCATACTTTTATCTTTCATCTCATTGGCAGATTTTATTATAAGGTTTTGTTAATGTGCATCTGCATTGTATTCTAGGTTTATGATTATTGTGATTTTTCCCTTCTGTGGACTGAAGTTAGTAGAAATGGACAGTTCTTTGCTGGCGGAGAGGTGCTTGCTGCTCACAGAGTACTCATCTGGACAGAAGATGGTCACAGTTATATCTATCAGCTGCTGAACAGGTGGGCTCAGATGGGAGCAGCATACAAAACATTCAGGTAGAAAATGAACTTTGGGAGGTTTATTATGGAAAAATCCCTGCATGCTGCCCATGATCAAAAACCAGAACAAAACAACTTTGGCACTAGAAGATTTACTCTGGGCTTGGTAGGCTTCTGCTTTTGTACAGAACAGCAGGGGATGGAGGAATGAGATTAACCATGTATAACTTGTACAGCTGGTGCTGGGTTTTCAAAAAGTCACTTGTAATTATTAACCCAACAATTTCTAACTAGAGTTTAGAAACTTGAATGGTACCATCCGGCTTTTCAAAGTGGGAGGAGGGAAAAACAAATAACCCCAAATTTCTAAACTTTGCTTTTTATTTTATCCATGCAGTGGGCTTTCAAAGAGCATATACCCTGCTGATGGAAAAGTCCTTAAAGAGACCATTTATCCTCATTTACTGTGCTCCACTTCTGTGGAGGAAAACAAGGTAATGCAAGAAAAGAGTGGCTGCCTCAAAGCTGATTCTTGGATTAAGTGCTGCTTTGTTTGTAACAGAGTCAGCCTTGAAAAAATTAAATAGAAGCATCACATCAAGTTGTTAATGAGAAAATAAAGTTTAATTGTTAAAGACTCCTACAGAGAAAACTCTGTCCTTAAACAAGCTATTATTTTTAAGTTTGATTAATGAAATAATGCTTACTTATTATAAGCAAACTGAAAATGTAATATAGAAGAAATTAGAATTCTTATTTCACCACCATAACTATTTGCCATGAATGTTTACATTTTGTTTTGTGTGTGTACTTATTTTTTTAAAATATGTAGAATAACAATGGGAATTGTACAGTGATCACTGATGTATCTTTTACCTAGATGAACCAATTGTTAACATCTTGTTAGATTTATTTTCCTTCTGCACATACACACAAACTTTACACATTTTTCTTCGATCCTTTTGATAGGTGATTTGACAGAACATCATTACCATTTTGATGTATCTACTCCAATTTTAAAACTTTATGAAATGGCTTGATCATGATTTTCTTTTTAAATTTTAGCCATATATGCAAGGTAATTTTCACATGTACTTTGCTATTCTTTGGAGTGAATTTTTCTTGTTAAAACAAATAATTATTTTTTCTAGCAGAAATTTGAGAATATAATTGTGAGCTTATTCCTTGACTGAATTATACCTTTGACACTCTAGGAAGTCAAAAATCTGAGCAGTTATTTTATTTCAGTGGTGTTACCCAAAGTGATTTTTTAAACCTCTATACTTAGTCATCAGTTAATTATCCAAAAGGGTATTTCATGGAGAGAGGGAGTTTTGAATTATTGATTTCTTAACCAAGAAAGCATGCTACTTTTTAGAGAATGATGGTTTGCTTAATTAGACAACATAGTCAGTGGGAACAATAGCTCAGTTACTGTCCCGTTAACATATCTGTGAAAAGTTTTATCACAAAAACTTGATTAAGAAGCTGACCACCAAAAATTAGAACCCCAGGTGCCACTGGAGCACAGGCAACTTTAGAATGGTGGTGCACCTCAAGACCTATTTCCAAAATCATTCATGGACAGTAATAGAGCATGTCTTTTTTGTTGTTGTTGTTGATCCCCAAAACAATAGTGTGACTTACTCAGAAAGGCATTTTTAATTATTTTAAAGGACCTGTTGTTCCTCTTTTTTAGCTCCAGAGTGATTTCTTACTAAGCACAGTTTGCCCTAGAAGTTATGTCCTTTAGGAATTTATAGTTTGCTGCAAATATCAATGGCATGCGTAACAATTAAAAGATTGGGAAGCTATCTTGCTGTTTCTCGAAATGTGAAGTCATAAATTTATGGGTCTTCTACCAATATTTCTTAGGTAGACAACCATAATTATTTCTATATCTAAAAAGTAGGAAGTATTAAGAAGCCAGTGAACTATAAATAGAATAATCTAAACTTGAAGGGAGTTGTCTACCCATCTTTAAACCCTGGCTTGCCCTTTATCCAGTGAAAAAATTAAAGTCAGACACTATTTGGTCAATGTTGGCATTCATTAAATATAATACTTCTAAGTCTCTCTTGCAGTTAGGAAGTGATGAAGGCATTGTGGTAGGGTAGGGAAGATGACTTTGATAGATACAGAGAGCCTAGGAAAGGGTGCTCTGTAAACATAATATTGACAAGACCCTTTCTTTTAGTGATACCATAGAATTAAATCTCAAAGTTTGACAGTAGCATGTTCTGAGAGTTATCATTTGTAATACATGTGAGCATATCTGCTGATGGAGTTGTAGTAGCAAGAGTAGAGATTTATCCATTCTTCCAGTAGCTTTGTGAGAATATCTTGGCTTCAGTTCATAGCTGGTGACTACTGAGGATTCTGGCAGGGAGGCTGTTGTTGGAAGTAGCCTTTGCATGTCTCAACTGCAGTAAGGCTTCAGTACTATGGTGGGAGTAGCTGAGATGGAAACGGCCTGAGGATTGTAGCTAAGGAATTTGGGAATAACTAAGAGTGATGATGGTGATAATGATGATAGATAGATAGATAGATAGATAGATAGATATCACTTTTTATTGAATCTTATTGCTATCAAACATACAGATTGCCTCATTGACTTTGGCCGCTGTCAAGATGTCATTGTGGAACATTTTGGAGCTGATGTTTTACCAGATTTTAAAACAAGGTAGCTCAATCTAAGTTTGATAATAGGTCTTTGGAATAAGTTTATCAGTTTTTCTGAGAAAAGAAGAATATGAATGATATTAAATAGGTACTAAATGCCAGACATCATTCTAAGTACCTTGTCTTTTTCAACTCATTAATCCTCACAATAATCCCTTAAAGAAGGTGCTTTTATAAGCCCTATTTCACAGTCAGGAAAAGTGAGACAGAAAGGCTAGGTAAATTGCTTAAATTAAGCAACTTATTCTTTTAATTGAGCAAGTGATAAACCAGGATTAGAATTTTAGGCAGTTAGCTCCCACGATTTCATTTGATGACTATATTTTATTGCCTCTTGGAGGATGGGTGCTCCCTATGATGGGTACTTGTTACTGAGGTAAAAAAAAATCAGAATTTATATAATAAAGGATTGCTAAGGGGTTTAGGTGAGGAAGGAGAAGGGCCAAGTTGGTGTGCTCAAGAGAGGAATGGCTTCATGGATGGACTGTGAGGGCTGAGGAGTAACAGCAACCAGGAACCCTGTCTGTAGAAGCAGAGCACTGAGTTGGGGGCGGGGGGGGGGGGCGGGGAATGGCCTGCCACAAACTTGAGTAACTCAGTCTCTCTGTAGCCTCATTTTTAGGAATTGGAATAAACAATTCTAAGTTTCCTACAAGACTATGGGAGGGCTTGAGTAGTCTATTTAACTAAATTTTATCAACTTCATTTCCAATACCTATAAAAATCATAGCTGTGAACTCAGTAAAATCTCCAAATGCCCTCTGAATCACACACACCCACACACATATACACACACGCATGCATGCACCAGACTTTATTGGAACTGTTTTCTGCAATATTCCCATTTCTTGGGACTTAGAGATTTACATATCTTTGTTGTATGGCCTTGGATTTGCCTCTTATTTTCTGTGTCTTAGTTCCATAGTGGTGATAACAATGCTTTCTTCATAGCTTTGTTGTGGGGATTACATGTAGCACTATTTTGGCCCTAGTCTTCTCCAGACCTAAAATCATGTATTTTCTGTCTAGGAACCGCTACTTTCTTAGACTTCTTTAATTCAATCTGGCACTAGCAGTTGGCTTTCTTTTCAGGATGCCTTTTATTTGTAGATCAAAAGAGGTTCTTGGTTTTGTTTTTCTAATCACTTAATCATTCTGATCCCTGTGTGTAATCTCTGTATACACGCCTGCCCAAAGAACAGCTGCACTGCGCTGAGGTGTGGGGTAGACTCTAGACATATTCACTGGTGAAAAGCACATCTTGGAGAGTACTATGCCTGATGTTCATGCACTCCACCTCATCGAAGTTATCATTATATGTATAATTTATAGTTATAATACATATCATATATCATGCATAGAATACATAATATTTTATAATGCACATTATAATATGTAATGTGTATTATACATTACAAAGTATGGAGTCACTTTTCTTTGTGGCTACTTGGGAGGTTTAAAATTACATATGTTGAAACGGTCAACAGAATGGATAGCATATTCATAACACAAAATTGCCATATAAACATTAGTTGTTGCTGTTTTAACTGAATTAGAACCAAAGGACTGGGAAGAGATCAGACCTCCTTAGAGGGCAGTACGCACTTCAAGGTGTGGGCTCCTAAGTCAGCATCATTAGAGTTGAAGCCCATTGCTATCTCTATCACTTTCAGTAACTCAAACCCCTCCCTCTGTTTCCTCATCTGCAACATGCAGACGATGATAGTGCCAGCTTCACAGGATTATGTAACTGGATGCACAGGAAGCTCCAATGTGTGCACGCAACAGTAAGTGTAACACAAATACAGAACATAGTCCATAAAGATTCCATTCTCTGATCAGCATTCTGAAATCTAGATGATAACTTTGCTTTTTGTTTTATGAAGACTTTTTAAAGATTAGTTCATGTAATTCACTTGAAAATTTTAAAACCATGGCAAATAGCTTGAAAAGATTTAGTTCGGCTAGGAAGGCTTATTCCTCCACTTAAAAACAGTGACTGTGTCTCTACAGTTAGAATGTTTCCTACATAAAAGCTCACTTCTTGTTTTGGCACAGAGCCTCCCCTTTGTGATGGGCTACATGAATGAAAGGAAAGAGCCTTTTTATAAGGTACTTTTCTCTGGAGAAGTCTCGGGAAGAATTACTTTGTGGCACATCCCAGATGTTCCTGTATCCAAGTTTGATGGTTCTCCTAGAGGTAATTTCTAATCACATGTCAACAAGGACTAATTTACAATTAATTCAGTGTTTTCATGTGTTGAGTAACAAGAAAAATTTTCTCATGACCACTAAGCATTTGATGCCGACATAAAAACAGGTATAAGCATAGAGTATATAGATCTGATACAATAATACAACAAGCATAATTCAAATTAACATCAGTTAAGCATAACAAGGAATACATGCTGGCAACATGAATGTGGATTGAACTGTTGCAATGTATTTACAGTTTTGAAGAGATAATGTCTTGGTAACATTTTCCCTGTCTAGTATGAGTTGGTAAACCAAAGTTTCCTTTTTTGTATGTGTGTTCTTTTCAGAGATACCTATAACTACCACCTGGACCCTTCAAGATAATTTTGATAAGCATCAGACTGTGTCACAAAATGTTGTTGACCGTTTCTCTGGGTTAAGAGATGAGACAGGAAGTTGGGCAGTCGCTTCATCCACGTACGTTCCCAGTCTGGATAAGCTGATATGTGGCCTTGAGGACGGGACGATTCTCATCGCCCAGGCTTTGAGTGCTGCCAAATTTGGACTTCTAGAAGGCTGTTCTTTATTAAGAGGTGATTGAACTTTTTTTGAGCTGCTTATTTAATTGAGTTTCAACCTCAACAAAGCTGCACTAACTTATATTCAGAGGATTAAAAATAATAGTTTCTTTATACCCTTCTTAACATTTGCTTTGTATATAAAAGCCCTACCAATATAGCAAATACATTCTTTTAATTATATTATATAAATAGAAGCTCTACACACTTTGTTGAGATATCCTTAAATATATCTGAATAAAATATTTTGATGTTCATTCTTTATGAGCTCATTTTAAATGTCTAATAACAATTGAATTTTAATTTTAAAAATCTCCATTAATTGGTATTGAGGTTTTCTAGTCATTAGCCACTGTGAACACCACATAACTATCTTTGTCCATATCTGTGGCATATCTATACCGCCAATCCTCAGAACAATACCGAATTGATATTTGTTTGCATTTCAAATTTTGGAAATATATGTAAAAGGTTATATAAAGAACTTACTTACCCCAAGACTTGGGTTTCACTTCAGATCATGTAAACCTTTTGCCTTTTATTAAAGAATTTGCATGTATGTCCAAGAATATCTTGTGAAAATTCCTTTCCCCAAAACCTTTTCAAACTACATATGCTATTAAACCTTTTAAATCTTTGCCAATCAGGAGTAAAATAGTCCCTTCTTTTTAAATTTTTATTTCTTTGTTAATGAAATTTATATATGTTCTTATACATTTTTAAGCATTATAACAATAAATACCTATTAAATAAATGTCATGCAATTAACTGTCTTACATACAGGAAGAAAATAGAGGAAGTAATTGAGATTTTAGGATATGTGGAAAAATTGTATACTGTTTTTCAATTATATACATCCTATTAAAATGTAAAGTATTAAGAGTAGAAACTGAATCTCAGTAATTAAAAAAAAAAAAAAACTCCTCTTCCAGTGCCCACTGTTGTTCTCAGCCCACTTTGGCCACTTACTAAATGTTACTGACTTGATTCAGGGACTAACTGAAGGAAAGGAATAAATGGCAATGAGCCAAGGAGAGGTAATGTACTGGTTTACAGCTAAATGGCTGCTGTTAAAAGCTAGTGAAAAAGCTAAGACTTTTAGCATTTTTTACCGAGCCTGATTTATCCTAATATCCAGAAAATAAGCAGACACTTACATTTGTCTTACAGAATCTGGATTAGCATTTGTTCAGATTTCCTAGAGGATATAAAATGAGGATGGGTCTGATGAACTCAAAGTGACAGGAATAATCTTTGGGATTCATTTCCTATTTAAATAAAAGAGGGGTGGCTTATGGTCCTTTCCAGTTTTGAGGACTTTCGCGAATGATAAAGGAATAAGTAGTGATTATGGGAAGAGAAACGATGTATCAGTAATTCTGTATTCTAGTACAGAAAGAATTTGAAATACCTATGTACTTATGTGCCTACCAAGTGCCAAGCAGACTGCGTCCACTCAGCAGTCTATCTGAAGTGCATCTTTGAGATGCATCATGTGTGAGAAAGAGGAAAAAAAGCAATTTAGCCATGGCAATGCATCTAATAAGTGGTTGACCCAGAGATGAAGGGCAGGTTGGTTTAGCAGCACAGCTATGGTCTTCAACATTATGGTTGATTTTTGATACTTGGAATTATGTCATTTACTAATCTGAGCCTAGGAGATTTTATCTGTAAAACAGAGCTAGAACTAAGTAATCGCTAACATCTTTCCTAGTAAAATGCTCTATGGAACTTGCTTTTCTTATATGTTAGACTTAATTGATCATGTAAATTAAAGCATGGTAGTAATAATTTTGGCTTATTTTGTGGAGGCAGAGTGTATGAATTGTTCACTTTTTTAGAACAGAGCTTGCTATTTCAGGGTACATGACTTGACAACTTGCTAACATCCTTAAAGAATTAGTAGATTTGAGCACCCAACTTAAGGGCTGCATCAACATCATGACCTGGAGTCTGATGAGCACTGCCTTTTGAGATAGCTAAGGGCTGTTTACTAATTTTCTGGACAAACATGTGCTTATGTTAAAAATTTATAAAAGATTATCTCAAGCTAGCTGCTAGTGGCTCACACCTGTAATCTTAGCTAGTTGGAAATCTGAGATCTGTAGGATCATGGTCTGAGGCCAGACTGGGCAAAAAGTTTATGAGACCCTATCTCAAACAATTGCTGGTTGGGCACAGTGCGTGTATCTGTCATCCCTAGCTTCGTGGGCTGAGATCACAAGGATTGTGTTTCCAGATCAGCCCAGAGAGGGGGAAAAAAAAAAAAAAAACTTGACAAGAAGCAAAAAATAGGAGAATGGCAATCCAGGCAAGCCTAACAAAAAACCAGACCCTATCTCCAAAATAACCAGAGTAAAAAGGAAGGAAGGGTGGGAGGGAGCGGGGGGGGGGAAAGAAAAAAATTCAGAATTATTTTTGGAACAGAAATGACTTTGTACTATTTGGTGTTTGACTATTTTTCAGATTCTTCATCTAATAGGATTCTTAAAGGCCATGACCAAAGGGTTACTTCATTGCTTTACCCACATGGCCTCTCTTCCAAGTTAGACCAATGCTGGATGGTGTCTGGGGACCAAGGTTCATGTGTCATCCTGTGGGATATCTTTACTGGAGAAATTTTACATAAATTCTTTTTGGAAGCTGGTCCAGTAACAAGTCTTTTGATGTCACCAGAGAACTTCAGAGTAAGTTAAGATAAAAAGTAAAACATAAAAGATAATTTGAAAGTTATGTAGCAGAATATTAAAAAAAAAAAAGAAGAAAATGACCCATATTCCCATAGGAAGAATAAGTCCATATACTCATAATATAACGGGGCACTTTTTTCATGTTCCTTTCTAATCATTTTACATAAATTTTATTTTCATTACAACTTATATTACACAAATAATTTTACTCTAAAGCAAATAGTTAATCAATTCTGCCTTTACAAATCCACTTATTCCTTTTTAAGTACATATACTTTTTTCTTTTCTTTCTAGGTGTGTGTCTTAATTTTTATTGTGGAATTTTAAATATAAAAGTAATAGATAATGCAAAACAAATCAAACAATGTGGGATCTATAAATTAAAAATTAATTTTGTTTTTAACAATTTCCTTTTTTATTCATATTGATAAGTATTTGCACTGTTTTTCATATATACATTTTTATTTGCCAGTTTAATCCTTTTATAAAAATTGACTCTTAAGAAGTTGATGAGCACACCTACATAGTATTGGGAAAATGAAATAATTTAGTCATAATTTTCTTATGAAATGTCAACTCAAATTCAGCTTCCATAGATCATCAGCTCTTTGTTAAAATACGAACAGCCAACTTTTGTGCTTCCTCTGCAAAAAAAAAAAGCATAGAGAAAAATGATTTTGTAAGTTAGTTGATTGGCTTATAAAATTATTTCTCCAAAGTATTATAAAAAATAAGCTCCAAAATACAATTGACATCTTTCAGATGCCTAGAAAACAGAATCTAATTGGCCTAGTATGGGTCACTTTTGTATGTCCACTCCTGGCCAGAAGATTTGTATCCACACATGGTTTTGTGTGTGTATATGTGTGTGTGTTGTGTGTTTTTCCTGAAGCACATAGAGCCATCCATTCTATAAGCTGTGGGGTGGACAGGGTGATTGGGAAGAAATAACATTTGATCCATTCTACAAGTCTAGCTTCCATATTTATCACACCTGCTATTTTATTTTTTTTTTCCTCAGAATGTCTGTAGTCTCCTTAAAAATTAGGAAAAAAACATGGTCCCCAATACCCCACAGAGAGATTAATAAGGGTCCTGCAAGAGCCTCAAGAGAGCTCAGCTGCTGCTTTAAACACAAGAGCTGAAATTGTGGGTAGGTCAGCAGCTCCCAGCATGGATGGTCATTGTCCTAAACTGTGGTCCAAGGTTACCACACGCTGACTTTTAAAAAAAATTTCATAAGAATTGTTATCCTGTGAGCCTATTTTTGGTCCTTATGTCTTGGAGGCTGTACATTCAGTTGAAGCTATCTAATGCTTACCTCTTTTAGAATGTGTCTACACTGAGTTTCCTGTTTGGATTAGAGTCTGTATAGTTCTGGGAACAGCACCAAATCACATTTTGAGGCTTTAAGTGAAAACTATCAGCTCATGATACCCTTGGGCCTAAGCTTGTGTCTATAAATAGCTTCTTTTTGTGGCAACAAATTAGTTCTGGGGTTTATTTTATTCTGCATTATTTCCGATGTCTGCCTCACTGCCTGAATTTGCTGAGTGATGGTCAAGTCCTTCATTTATCTTATAAGTAGATCTGACCTAGAATTCTCCTTTTTACTTGTATCTTTTGACCTTCCTGGTAGGTTGTTGAGTTTAAACTCTCATCTTTATTGAAAGGTCCTTCATAGAGCACTGTGTGAAGACTTTCTATAGAAAGCAGAAATGTCCTTTAGTAAATGGGGCTCTAACAAAGGTGTTTTATGTTACTGGAAGAAAAATGTCTGATTTAATCATAAAGAATGCATTTGGCTATTTACTTATACAAGCATGCTGTCTTTTCACAGCTAAGAGATGGTCAGATAATCTGCTGTGTCTGTAGTGACCATTCCGTGGCTCTCCTTCACCTAGAGGAGAGGAGGTGCCTCCTGCGTGCCAGGAAGCACCTTTTCCCTGTGAAGATGATAAGATGGCATCCGGTTGAGAACTTTTTAATTGTTGGATGTGCAGATGACTCTGTCTACATCTGGGAAATTGAGACAGGTAAATTGAAGTTTTATCTTGTTTATCCTTATTTATGATGTACAATCATTTGGCCAGGTGGAAAGTTCAAGTGAAGATACTTCTTTTAACCTTTAGTTGATCTTGGTATGGTTTCAGTTGAAGGCATATATGGAAAATAAAACACAATAGCAAAGATCCTACCCACTGATGATTAGCTGACAGGGCAGTGCACAGGAATGAGCCGGATATTTCTGGAAGCTATAAATAAAAACATAAGTTATCTACTTTAATTATTACCAAGAGAGAAATTTAGTGTTCTTCCGGTCTCAAATTATCATTAAATTCTGCCTTCTTCAGCATGCTCACCATCTCAGCAACATGTTGAGCTAATTGATGATCAGTAATAATGGAATATAATTAATTATCAAACTCCAAAAAGTTGAGTCAGGGAAACTGAAAACTAAGTGGCTCAATTGAACTTTCAATATCTTACCATAGAGAAAGTACAGCTTGAATTTTAAAGTTTTTTACTATATAACTGAAAGTTGAGAATAGCACATTTTAGAAAATGCTGGAAACATATTACATGAGGTGATGTGATTAATAAATGTGAGTCGTGGTGTTTGCTTGAAGTACATTTCAGCGAAACTATTGCATGTATTTTACTGACTAATCAGAGGTAGTTTTTATGGTGAGTGTTATTAACAGACTGGATAGTTTGTAACATTATAATTTGGAGCCACACTTCATCCAAATAGTTATTTTCTTTGCATTGACTGCCAGGTGTCAACACTGATGAGTGAGTTTTAAGGGAGCAGCATAATATTGCCCTACATTTGTAACCTGCTTTACAGTTTTGATGGCTTTCATGCTTATTTTTTCATAGATTCTCTAGATTTTTGAAATGTCTAGGGTGGGTAGGAAAAGTAATTCTTCATCATTTTATTGATAAGGAGTTGTAGATTTGATATGTAAACACACAGTTTTGCACTGCTAATAAGTAGGGAACCAGTTCGAGGGTCCTGATGGTTCTTTGTGCAATAAATCTCAAATTAGGAGAGTTTGAGAATTCTTAGGTAATCTGTTGACCTGAGTGGCAGTTGAGTATAATGGATAAAATGGGCCCTAAAAAGCCCCGGATTTCCTCTAGGACCTGTTAATGAAGACCTATATGACCTTGAGCAAATTACTTGGCTTCTCTTAAGGACAATTTCCTTATCTGTGGAATAGGAGTAATTTAATCCTGATAGGATTAAATGAAACTAATGGAGGAATTGCTACCTAAAATGTTTGTAAATAGTGTCTGTAGGCAGTTAGCCTTGTTTACAGCAAAATCTTAACTTTTGATTGTGAAGCCCCAGTCTGTAAAATGTGTACTTCCAAATGCATACAGTTACATTTATAATTGTGAACAGTTGGTGACTTGAATATATTTTTCACAGAATCCAGCAAAAATAAGCTATTTGGTTATTCACAAGTGTTCAAGCTTCCAGTGCCTAGTGAAGACAACTTTGCGCTATAAAGCTTTCTATTTATGTATTTTTTGATGAGATGGGAAGTAAATGAGTGAAACCTGTCCACTAGTATTTCTTGAGATTATATATATTCCCATTTTACTTTTTAATTTTATTATTTCTTTTCTTTCCCTCAAGTATGTACGCTAATATTGTAGACATCTGAAAAAAATAACCGTGAAAAAACACTATCCCATTACTTAAACATAAGTGCTGTTAATATTTGATCTGCTGTCTGTCATACATTTTTTCATGTCAGTAAATGGATATCTATATTGTATATCAGCTGTTTTATTGGTGGAAAACTGAATTCAACTGAAATAGGTCAAATGAAGAGACTTTAATGAAAGGAATTTCTGTAGGCGTGTGGTAGGGATTAAGGAATGGACGGGGAACAGATAATAAGGTCCCAGTACCCAGACACTGGGGCCATGGTGAAATGCTTGCCATTTATAGGGCTGAAGCAGTAAGAGGAGACAGTAATGAAACTGAAACCCAGTCTGTGAGATCTGACACTCAGGGAGTGTGGTCACCCCTGGAGTCATGGAAGAGAAACAGCTCCAATGAGATTTGCAGGGCTGAAACAGAGAGTTGGAAGAAATTACCTTCATTTCCCCCATCACCTCCATTAGTTTCATTATGCCAGAAGTCAGAGGTGAAGGGTGTTCAATTCTAGGCATCAGCCTCACTTTGCATGGAGGACACAGAAAGGTCGGGAAAGGCTGGCATGGGCTGTCAAATGGACAGTGAGTGATCAGTGTAGTGTCCATTGTGGACATACCATATTTTAACCTAGAGATCTCCTAGAACTGGCTATTTTTATGGTTCCGTGTAAAATGCTTAGAATTGCCATGTTGAATCATATGTACATATTTAGTGCCAAATTAACCTATAAAATATTTATTCCAAATGAGGCTCTTTATCTCATGTTAACTACATTGGTAGTTTTAAATGTCAACTCAACCTAAGAAGGAGCCTATCATCTGTGATAACAGTACTCATAGCTCTGTCACCATTTTCACATTTGTAACATGCTCTTCACTAACTAACCATTGACCATCTCAAGTGAGCCCCATGACACCCCGGGAAGGTGGCTGATGTCCTAACTGTTCTTACCAGCTCATTCCTTTTGAGTAAGTTTATGTTGTTTCTTTTAGTCTTATGTCTGGTATTGTCTTTGTTATGGGTTGCCTTAATCTCTGCAGTTCCAATTTTGCTTAAAATTTAATGAACCACTTTTTCTTTCCCAAGACGAATTTCATCTGGGCAAGCTGGTTCTATCATATTTCCTGTACTTGATTTTTATTTTATCTCTTCCTAGAAAGGTGAAAAAAATAGGAGCTCAGAAGCTTTTCCATTTGTATTTTCATAAATGTAGGCAGAAAATTACTAGCTAAGATGAAAACAGGTTGATTGTGTGGCACATGAATAAGTGAATGAGTGACAAATGACCCCCAGTGCTTCTGGACAGATGAGTTCACCTTATCAGTGGCCAACTGTGGTGGCCCTTAGATCACAACTGCCCAACTACAGAAGTAGTCCTCAGCTTTATGTTCCAAGTGACCCTAGTTTTTCTGGAGCACACAGGTCATGCCCTGCCTCCTCAGATGAAGGTCTGTGTATTTTCTGCCCTAGTTACTTTTTCTTAGACCTTTGCATTTTAAAAGTGGTCATAGATGTTCTCTGCACAGGGTTTAACTTCAGTTCCATGTACAAAAAGACTTATTCTGTGTTCTGTTTGTCCAGTACTCCGCCTCCTGTAAATACATGAAGGAGGACTAAGTTGACATGACATTAGATATCAAATCTTTTAGCAATAGAACAACTATAGAGCTTATAAAGAGAAAGCAGGAAGTTTCAATGGGGTAAGACATTGGGCAGAAAGGCCTAGAAAGAAAAAGCCAAGAGGAGGAAATTGAAGCCAGAAGTAAAACATTTTGATTTGTGCCCAAAGCATTTGTGGCGAAAGTTTGGAAATGCATAGAGAATAGGGCCAAGTCCCTGCCTGTGTAACCCCTCTTAGGTGTGGAGGATAACAGATGAGACTTCTTCCTCTTTCCCAGAAGGGCTTTCCTTCTGTGACAGATGGCATAGTTGGATGCATGCCAGGGCAAAGCCTGGGATCTTAGGTGGGCATGTGGGTAAGCATGCTCACCTCATGGAAGAGTCTGACTACTGAAGTAAGGAAGTGTTTGTGCAACACTGAAGTCCCTTGTCCTGGTGGAAATGCATAGCTGCCAGGCTGGGATTCCAGTTTTACTTATTGATCCAACAGCTGCCTCATGATGTTTCAGCCTGATTAGGAAAAGCAAAACTTGGAGATGTCATTTTGATGAATATTTGCATTCCCACAGAACATTTGGCACCACAACTTTGAGTAGTTTTATTACCCTATTTGTTGTGACACAATAAGGATAATGTCATACTGATTTTCCCCCTAAAATGCACTTCAGAAATAATTTTCAGCTCTGAACTAATTATTCTTTAAAGAATTAAATTTTAGATAATTCTGATGTCTTTTATGCTCACAGTAGTGGATTTACATAGCAGAAAACTTGTGTAAGAAATTTCTTGTGTGTTATTAATATAACTGTTATTATTACTGAAGGACTTCTGTTAAGTTTATGGCTTGTGTTGTAGAATATGCCTTGCTAAGCAACTAGACTTTTTGTGGGAAATGAAACCTTGTTTGCTTGAAAAAAAACATTTTTTGGACTAGAGTTGTGGCTTAGGAGGCAGAGCACCTGTTTTGTAAGTGCAAAGCCCTGAGTTCAAACTCCAGTCCTACCCCCCAAACTTTTTTGATTAGATGGATCAGTGAAACATTTTCGACTTTATAGGCCATAATGATTTCTATGCCAACCACTTAATTCTTCCACCATATTCATGTCAAACCATAGACAGTACATAAAGGAATAAACCAGGCTATGTTCCAATAAATCTTTATTGACAAAAATAGGCAGCAGGCAGCCATGGTTTAAAGACCCCTGAGAATGAATTATTCCTTGTTTTCATTTTGTTTGTTTGTTTCTTTGAGCCAGGGTCTCACTATGTAGCCTAGACTGGCCTTGAACTCACGATCTCCTGCCTCCGCCTGCTGGGATTAAAGGTGTGTACCACCATGCAAGGTATTCTTTATAAAGAATGCTTCTTTCTTAACAACTCATTCTTAAAGAAACTTTTAATTTTTAATCAATTATGCCTTACTGACTGTGCAGTAGGCAGGATGGTATGGTATACCCATCTTACCTGTGAGGAAAAGTTTCATGAGTATGAAAGTCCTCAAGCTAGGTGCTCACCATGCACTAGGATAGATGCTCCACTGTATCTCATAATAGAGCACATCCTGCAGATGGAGGTCAGTTTTTTGAGACAGTCAAGCAGGGCATTAGATAAGAAAAGCTCTGAGAAGAAAGGAAATAACTGCCAGGAAACCTGCTACAAGCTTTCAAAGGGGGGTCTCTGGCTATCTCTCAGAGCTTGGCTCTTAATTTACACATAGTTCTCACAGCTCTGGTCATCTGATTTCTCAGATGACAGATTAGAAACAGCAAATTACAAGT